CACTCTATCACAGCGTTTGCGTGTTGCATGTACAATAGCTGTAATCCGCAAATCAATCTACCGATATGAAACAGGTCTTCCTGTTGTTGTGTTATATCAGGAAGCTTTTCTCTTTGAAGGAAGGGCCATAACTTCCGAGATACCGGATAAAAACGTGGGCTGTTTGTACCCAATCGACTTGTAGTCAGTGTGGTGAGTCATCCACTGTCCATTTGATTATGAAATATACTTTAGCGGGAAATAAGCTGTGAGATTTCACATCCAACAATTTACGCATACAACGTGTAAGTAACGTAGTATTCTGAATCGTATAGTTAAACCCAGGTTGACATGTAAATGTTTGTAACGTTAAATTTCAGACCAATAATTTACGCATAACGTTAGTATTCTGAACTGTATAGTTAAAAGACAGGTTGACATATAAATGTTTGTAACGTTTGCGAATTGACTTCTAAACGTTTGCGAACCGACTTCTACACGTTTGCGAACTGACCAGAGACGTTTCGAAACGACCGTTGGCGAAACGACTCGTTGTGAAACATTAGTATGTGATCAGAGCCTTAATACAGCTTTAATAACAAAATAAAATATAATGTTTTCCATCATTCAGATAATTGCAACAGTACACACACACAAAAAACGCTTGGGATATGATTCGATTCCAATCACAATAATACGAATAACACAGAGTTCACAAAGACTAATTACAGCGAGTACTTACCAGCTAGAATTATGTTTCTCCCTTTTTCTACCAATATCTTACTGAGGATCATAATTCATCGTTAACATTTTCCGAAACGGAAAGTTCAGTCAACTTCGAATCTCCTGTTCCCGTTCTGGAACGTTTTACTTCCTTTAAAGAACTGAGGCATGCGCAGCACAACCGAAACCGCAGAATTTGTGCGGTCGAGATTGATGTCTCCAGAGTCTTCCCGGCTTGCCCCGCTGACCAAAAAGCCTGAAGACTCTGGGTACGAGATTGGAGCTAAAGACAAATGGTTTTGACGTCATAGGCGTTAATGTATTCCTACCCCCCACCCCTTAATGAGATTCCTGCCAATAAAAAAGGTTAATTTCATCCCTACTACACTACTGGTGTTTGCTATATTCTTCGCCACTGAAATGGAACTGGAGCACCCTCCCAGCTATCTACAATCCTCTCCTGGAATACGTAACATCCTTTCTGTTACGTAACCTTACATTTTACGTCGCCGATGAAGTTCGGGCTTTTGATCTTGTCTTTACTTTGAGTTTTAACATTTTTATACTAATTTATCAGTGAGTTTTACAAATCAGTGTTTTTGAGGGTTCCAAAACACTCATTTATGTGAGGACATCTTGAAACCAATTAACACTTAAACTTCAAACTTTATCGCGCTTATTATAGTTGTCTTGTGTTCCCGTCCACGACAAAACGTGAATTTAGGCACTTTCACGTTGTAGTCGTGAAGCAACGGTAAAGAAATGCACAAAAAAAGCACGTACGAAGTTGTTGTTTTGCTAATCTAAACCCACTGCGTTTTTACCGTTCTCGTTGCCGTCGCCATCGTCGTTGCTTAAGCTCCTTAATAAGAGACACGTTTGCCGTTTGGCGTAAACCACGTGACGAAGTGTTCCCCATAATTGTCATTTACTGTTTATTATTTATTAATAAGTAGTTTCCGGTGAGTTTTATCCCGAAGAATTGTTCTGGACAGTTTTTATCTGCTTCTTTTCTATTTTGAGAAATTCTCAATTTGAATCTGACGTTTGCCGTTTGCCGTAAAGGTGGCTCCAAATCTCTCCAATGTGTAACCAGCCCGCTCGGGCATCGAACCTATCTGTACGGTCACCTTTCCACAAGAGCTCGCACTCCTTTTTGTCATGGGGTACATACATTCCCTCTTGTTCTGACCCCAGCCGTCTACAACGGCAAGTGACTTACATCTTTCTCCAAGATGGCTTTTGTAGAATTAAAGGTTTAACTCCACGCGTTTTTAAAAAAGGGCCCCGCTCCAACGCAAAATGTGAAAGAATGGTTTTGAATTTTAAAAAAATAACAATTTTCATCAGACTTTTTTCTGAGCGAAATGCTCCATTTCAGAACCTTGTGACATAAGCGGGCATAATCATTCTATTGCTAATTTTGTCGCGCACGCAATAACGTGAAAATTCGGAAGCCGCATTTCGCGAGTATTTAACATTGCAGTTATTTACCAATTAAAGAACTGAGGCGTATTCTATTTCTTGTGTTTATAGTAAGTTATTCTATCTTATTAAACAAGTTGGTTTACAATTTGTGTGGCTCTTATGAGTTCCACTCCTGTCAAGGGTTAACAAATAAAGCCAAGTGAATCGCAAACGGTAGGAAGCAGATGCAAAGATCCAAGAAAAAGTTGAATTTCGCAATTTAAGTTTTTGCGCATTTTACACTTTAAGCAAGTGTAAAAATTTTATCAGTTTTTTGGAAATCAAATTTCCGTTTGCATTTGTGCTAGTCTGAGAAAACACCCAACATGCTTTTCGTGACGTCCGCGAAATGACGTCTGAGGAACGCCGGCACAAATACCATAGTGATGACATGCCACTATCCAGATTTGGGTACTGCTTCCTATTGGTCCTGCCACAAGGGAAAGTTGCTTCAACCAAAGCACTATCCAGATCTGGGTAGTGACACGTCATCAGTATAAAATTTCTGCGCTCGTTCCTCAGACGTCATTCATTCGCAGGGAAACTAGAGGTGGCGTCGCGAAAGGCCGGCTGTTCTCTCAGACTATATTTGAGGCAGGAAGTCGTGTCTACGCTTAACTTCGCAGTCCTCCATAACAAGACTGTTTTGAGCAAGACTGTACTTCAGGCCAAGGCTACTACGTATACAAGCAATATCCGTACTCCATTTCGAGACTATTTATGGAAACGCCTCGGAGAAAACACAAACAAAGAACAGTAAATTGCGGCTGAGTTGCAAAAAAACGATAGAAATCATAAAATTGTATGATTTCAAAGTTCAAACCTTATCAAGAAGCTAAAGGGATTTGTGTTTCATACAACGAAACTGTGGAAAGAACTGGCAGTACTAATAAAAGGCAAATATTGTACGCTGGAACAATCCTCTTTCTGTCCAACTACTCTTGAAGTGCTCCATATATATTTATAAGTAAAATTTATCTTTCTTTATTTCGAACCGGTCATCATTGTTAACTGCGCGCTGTATCGTTTATTTTAGATACAAAAGCATCTGTGAGCTGATGGGCAAAGTGCATGAGGAAGTCACCAGGAAGGAAGTCATTCTAGGAATATCGATCTTGTTCCGTCTGTCCTCGTGGAACAAACGGAACATGGTGGGAGAGAGGGCAAAAAATAACGCATGATAATTTGTTAACAAGCCGCTAACCGCCCTCCAGCGTAAAGCCAAGAAAAAAATCACGAAATGTATGATGCCGTCTTCCCGTAAGCGACATTAGGCATGATAGGAATCTGAGGGTATGATCTCAAGCTATCGTGATGTCTGCATTTTTTTCTTATTTAAAATGTTACTTGGAGTGTATTTTTTTCCCCCGAAACGTGTCAGATGATAGTTGAAGATGAATTTCTATAAAAACTGTGATCATCAGTGATGTTTTGGCTCTTGATACTGTACAAATCACTAGACCTAGTCGATTCTGGTAGTGTAGAGATTTCTAGTCGAGAACAATGTTTTATCCTGAGGATTCTCCGCGTAACTTGTCTCTTTCGAACCCTAGTCAAAAATGCCTTCCGTAAAATCAAAGTGAGGTTACTTAACTCCTTTGATAAGGAATTTTTAGTATAGGTTTAATTAAGAGCTGACACTGCATGTTTATTAAATCACAGCAACAATAGACTTTGTCACGGTTTTCGAAGCCATCTTGACGAGAAGGCAAACGTGTGAGAAATTACAGTGTTTGTATGAGAATCTAATGACGAATAATTTCCGTAAAACGGCTGTTCTGAAAAAAATGTGAACTTTTAACTAAAGCTACAAAGCAAAGGATTGTACTAAAAGATTTTGTGGGCGTACCTGTGCTTAAATTTCTCCAGAGTCTTGCTTTACATTTTCCTTATATGTGTCTGCAATTTTTCTCTGGACTTTCTTACAGACAAATGTATAGAAAATTTTAAAAAAGTGGTTCTAGGTCTTCTAACCCATATAACACCCTCAATTTTTTTCGGTAGAATCCTTAGGAGTGAAGCTTTAGTTGAAAATTCATATTTTTTCAGAACAGTCGTTTTACGGAAATTATTCGACATTAGATTCTTATAGAAACACTGTAATTTCTCACGGGTTTGCCTACTCGTCAAGATAGCGTCGAAAACCGTGACAAGGTCTATCCTTTGACAACGAAGTACCAAACTTAATTTTTGAAGTCTTTGATCAGAAGTTCAAGTCATAATGGCTCTTGGTAGATCAGTCAAAATGAAAATCATGGCAGCCGGATTAATCCCAAAGGCAAGGCGATCGAACAGCTCAGTTAAAAAAAACTTGAATTACCATAACTATTAAATTTGTTCAATATTTCGGTTTGCGAGACAAACCTTCCTCGGGGGCAAAACTGATAATCAATATCGCACAGAACTTTAAATTAAATATTAATCTGTAAGTGGAAATGCTTTTCTTCAATAACTAAACATATTCTTTTAAACAGCAGGGTATTAAGAAGTTACAGGTGCAAATAAATCCGTAAGTTGCGTAACTTCAACTTTAACGTAGACATAAATTGATGAGTCATTTTATTGAAATGTAAATTTTTAATACTTGCGGACATGACGTATTAAGCTTTCATTGTTGGTGGATGTTTGGGACACAAACAATGTTTGTATTTCTGCATAGAATTTCATAGTAACTGTTGTAGCTCTATTACGCAGCAAAAAATGTGACTAAATCCCAGAAGGAAATGTGATTCTGTAATAAACTGAACTAGTCCTTCTCTACTTTTATACATTAGGAAAAACTTTTTTCACTTACTCCTTAAGTCTTCACTGGGTCTCTTTTATCGTGACGTATTCTAGGTGAATGACGTGATCAGAGTTTTAACGGGAAAATGAAGTGTTTATCGGTGGACCATGATCGTGCAATACGTAAATAAGATTCCAACTTATTCATTTGTTTGGGGCTCCCATGACAATGGGGAGTTAATTACATGGCATAGAAAGTACTTTGTCGAAGAAAGCGCTTCTCAGTCTTAGAGTTTACAAACGTTCGTCCTCCGATAACCTGCGTCTCCCCGATCACGGAAAGAAAGGTTTTCACTTCTACGGCTAATTCCTACTCATAGTACTGCCAAACGAAAATTATGGCACTTACCACAATGAAGGTAGGAGAAGGGCAAGAATTGTATATGTTAGAATATAGGTCTTTAAATGTGTTTTTGTTTTAAGACGGCTACAAACATGTCAAGATGTTGCTTCATAAGCCGTTATCAGTTGTACTACTCGCCTTAGTTTAAAAATGGTTTTCCTTGAAAATTATTTTTGGGCTTTGAATATCTAAAGGGTTGATGCCAAACCGCCGTTCGAATAAGAAGTGGCGGATTTCGTGTCAATCAAACCATGATATTATTTTATGAAACTTGTTTTAAATGCAAATTTGGTGTTTGCAGTCAAAGTGTGTAACAATTATACAAAAGTACAACCTGCTGTACTTCATAGGGCTCGATTTTCCTTTCTATCGCTTTTTGTATTGTTTTGCAGTATGTTATAAAAAGATATTTTCACATCGAAGCGGCGCACTTATTACGTGGATCGGCAAAGTCTCTTGAAAAATTTTCTTAAAAGCGGACATTTTTTGGAGCGGATGCACTCGACAAATCATTCATGCCGAACGGTTTTTCTGTGGCTGTCACGAGGTCGTTTTAAACACTTCTGTCTCACTGTAGACTGGGTCTACCTGTTTCATTTTCTTACCTGAAAGCTCTGAGGTCTGTCGTAAGATATAATTTTTAACTGTTCCATTATCGTAAGCGAAATCGATGATTTCTGGGACTTATATACCGTTAGCAAATTATAACGTTCAAAAAAAAAAAAATACAAATAAAAAGGAGTTGTCACTGAATTTAATATTGATTGTTAAAAATATATATTTTTCCAAAAAGCGATAAGGATAGTCACGCACATTCTTGTTCAAACGGTTTTCCCCAAGTCTCCTGCACTCAAAGTAATGTCCTGGCGCCAGTTGTTCAAACGTTGGATAGCGCTATCCATCGGATAAATCACTATCCAGTGGATAAGTATTAGGGAAACCAATTGCACTATCCACTGGATAGAGATTTATCCGCTGGATAGCGCTATCCATCTTTTGAACAACTGGGACCTGAACAATAGGAGGCGTATGAGTTTTCTTCAAAGTTTCTGGAAGTTTTTATTCAACTGTTTTATATGCCCGAAACCAATGACAAACCAGCCGCTGACGCAGGCTTCCTGTTGTCAAAGACCTATAATATTAGACTAGCTGCTATTAATAATCAGACTTGCACGGAACTACTGTAATAATATCGTGAGGCAAAAAATATCATGATCAGTTGAATTCTAGCTACAAATAGATAAATTTGGTACACTTGTATTTACTAAAGATACTGTGTGTTTAGTGATGTCTGTCAATGAAGGCAATGTAAGTCAGCAGCGGTCCATAAAATAATTTCAGTTCGCTTTACGTATAAATTTGTCAAGTCTCAGTAAGTTGAGATGACTCAACTAGTTTTGGCCTCTTCCTGTCAAAAACCCTCTTTATCTTTGAAATAATTCATTTTTTGAAAAAGTATTCTCTGCATGTGCATGCTTTAAGCACTCGCTATCTGCTGGTCATTCAAGCCAAAGTTTGATTAAGTGAAAATGAAAGACTATTGCGTGGCCTTTTATCGACTTTTAACTCAGTACCTACGTAAATGTTATACGTAAAGTTATGTGCCAGCCACAGCTGAACAGTACCAAGTGCTTCAAAATTACATTTAAAGTTAAGTGTGAGTTGTAGATTATTTCGTAGTTATTGCAGGTGATAAGGGAGGTAACATGAGGTAGTACGTGATACGATATCACTGCCAGACTACTAGCCCCTCCTTTCCCTTGCCTAGTATTATACTAACTTAATTTAATTTCTATTTTTCCTTACAGCAGCTGTTATCAACTCTCCTGCTACTCTCACTGTCGAGTGAGCTTTGCGCACTAACGGTTAGTATTAAATGTTTTGTCAAGTGAGATCTTGTGGTGAGCAATAAGCCCTAAGAAGACCCAGTTGCTGGGCATTATTTATCGACAAAATGGCCATTTTTAGATTTCTCAACCGGCACTTATTGCAGGGCTTTCTGGTGCAATCTTCGCTGAAGAGTTTTTCTTTACTTCAGATGTTTAACCGCCTCAATTCAGGGAAGCGGAAAGGAGGGAAAGGGGGAGGGTATTGGGGAGAGATGGAAAGAGACCCTGTCGCGCCTTTCCTCTCCCCTTCCCTTTTATGCGCCTGTCACGCAGGCTACATCCCCTCCCAATATTTTCAGTGGTGCATTCCCTGATATATAATTCAAGCCATTTTACATGTTATGTACTGATTATTTTGGCAACTTTCAAAAACGTCTGGGTGGAACTTCCTTGTCTTTCCATACTATGCTCTTCCATCAAAAGATCTCCATAATCTCAGATCGACAATAATTATAATTATAATTCTCCTATGACTAATAAGTTATAGGCTAGCCTCTATCCTATATATTGTCTTTAAAAAACGTTTGAGAGAAAGTCACTTAGTTTTTCTACATAATCATGTTTTCAAGGTGTTGTTGGTTTGTTTGCTTGTTTTTGCCTCGTTTATATTTTATAAATTCACAGAGCCTGCACGTTAACACATGACCAGGCAAGATGAGACCTTTTGTGTTTATTGTTCCAGCCAAATGCTGTTACATTTAATGTTGTTCTGTTTTCTTTCCCTAGTTCACCGCAGAAGGCTGTGGAGAAACTAAAGGTTGTTATGCATCACCAGCCTCCTGCACTACAAGCGAAGACTGTGATTTTCTGGTGACCTACAATGCCACAAATTCAACTCATGTTGAATTCGAGCTGAGTGGGAAAGGAGATTGGATAGCAGTTGGTTTCAGTGATGACCGATTAATGGTAAGTTGTTTGATAGGACCGACAGCTTGTCATACACATGGCCCGGGGGAGTTACTCAACAAAGCTTTATAAGGGTAGCCTCCGCCCCAAACTCTAACCCCTTAATACCCTTTTATATAGCACTTTTATAGAAAAGGTACTCCTTTCTTATAGTCTCTATTCACATACTTAGTTTAAAACTTTGCATCTCTTTTAACTACTGTGAATGCACTGTCTAAAACCAGAATGTTTTCTCGAGTTTTGACAGCCATTAAATGCATCTGTTACGCCCTTTGGGCCTTTTTACAGAACCTACCCTTTCATATATTTCAACTGGAAAAATCCCTACTCTTTCATATACCTGAAGCATGAAAAAGGTACCCCTCGCGAGGGAAAGCCTCCAGTCCTAAAATTGAGATGGTCTTTGAATCATTAATTATAGGCAAATACCGATATTCTGATGTGTGTCAATAATCAAGCACTACGTGGTCATTATTACGCAACAGGACGGACGATACCACAAAGGACAAATCCAGTAAGGACTGATAACTTTATTGCGCGGTTTATACTATTCGTTTAATTTTTTAACTTATAAGGGTGACTAAAGTTGAAAGATGTTTACTGAAACTAAGTATATCAGTGAAAAATGTACATTCTTAATTGAAGTAACTTTTTGGCAATAACGACCTTGTCTAAGGTAAGGTTTGCATGCCATGATAATTTTGTAGCTCGCTTGTTGATATGGCGTATTTATTTATCTATATCCGACTTTTATAGATCCGATACGCCGATTTACAGTTGTATGAAAGCCTTTTAGTGGAATTGAGACTGGCTGTTACTTATTTATAATTTGTTTTGGTAGATACCTCGTTTGTATTTAAGGGGGCCCCAGTAACTTTTTCGGGATCTGGGATTTACCTTATCGGAAAAATGAGTGCGAGATTCGGGATTGGAAGTATGCACGGGATCCGAAATGCCGAAAAATCAGGATTGAGCGAAAATTTGGGTTCGGATCCATAATGGAATTGATGAGCCCTTTTGATTAAGGACACTCTATTCATATAAGTGCACTTCAGTCTAACCTGCCGTAAGCGACCACCCAAAATGCAATAAAGACTTAGCGTTCGTCCACGGGAGGTGGTCGCTTACTAGAATCGAACCACAGGGGGCCTCTTCTGAAAAGAGGTCCAGACATATCTATTTTAAGGAAGATAATTTATTGCATGCAATTTCTAAATTACACCATGTGTAGTTCCATGATGTCACTAAAGTTCTTCGTATATTCTAAGCAGCATAGTGCACACAGCGAAAGTAGAGATCATGCAGAAAATAGGTCAAGTGGTCACTTACAAGAGGTTAAAAACAACTGGAAAATCATTAAACCGTCAGGCCCAAAAAGTGGGCGCGGTCGCTTACAGGAGGTGGTCGTTGACTAGAGGTTCCAACTGTAAGTCTGTGACTGGGAAAGTTTTGGTGGTTTGGATAAGCGGTCGCTTATGGGAGGTAGTCGCTTACGAGAGGTGGTCTCACAAGGAGGTTTGACTGTATTTACATTTTTAAAAAAGCCAACACCTCGCTTTCGTCCGAGGCAAGAATACTCAGTACACAAACTTTTGTTTAATTAACCAATATATAAATGACTAATAGCTGACTGATTTAATAACTGCCTCATCGCAATCGATTTTTTACTTATTTCATTGTCTGTCGTTTGTTTCAGACACCGGCAGCAGTACAAATTATCGAACAAGCAGACGAGAATAACATTATCAAATGCAGGCATGTAAAGGAACTGTTTTCTGAGCGTATAATTTCTGATGATTCATGACGACAAAGTTTTCTAATTCGGATTTATTGTTGAATTTCGTTGCTTTTAGGATTTCAAGGGAGGTAAACCCGATTCCAGCAATAGCAAATTTTACAGACCTTAACCAAGAGGTGTTCCTTCTAGCTGCTTATGGAAACGTAGATGGTTCGTTCTATGGTTTCACTGTTGCACTTTTGTTTTGTTTTCTGTTTGTTTACCGTTTGTTTACGTTCTAACAATTATTGAATGACGCTGAGTATGGTATGAAGAATTGTGCAGATCGAGGAGCGTGCTATCCAACCGAGGGCGCAGGCGCGCCGTCAGCTTAATGATAACAGTCTCCGAGTCTGAGATCTGCATCATTCTTTATATCATACGAATTCAATAATTGTTATCAATTTGTTCAAAATATTTCAGTTTTAACAACTTTTCCTCCTCTTAACCTAAAAGCATTTGTCTGTAAAGTTTGAGAATGTGAACATGCAGATATTTTTAGTCGCATGTACCCCTCAAAAAGTGAATATTCAATATTTTTGCGTAGTTTTGCGTTTGTGCCGTTCAGTTTTTTTACTCTGTAACTGGGCTATTCTGTCTTCGGATAGCCGTGAAATCTTTCCCCATTTTCTTGAATAACTCGGGCCAAAGCATCTAGGCTGCTCTCCTCTGCCTGAGAATGAGGTCGTGATTGTACATGAGGGTAATGGCGTCTTTCAAATTTGATCAGCACCGGCCCGCTGGTTATTTATGAAGATTAACTACAACAACAACAATGTAATTATTTACAAAACTACAAAGTTTACAATGCTTTAGGCTCCGCAAATAGCTTTTCTAGTAAATAAAGGCGATATTAAATTACATAAGGAAAAAGGAAAAGAAAAGAATTACAATAACATACAGAAAGAAACACCAACATATAAATTCAAGTACACGGTTTTTGTTATCTAAAAATAGACAAAAGTGGACTAAACTAAGTCAACTGAAACATTAGCCAGGAGATTGGAAAAACAGCGTAATATTTTGAATGAATAACAGTAAGATTTATCATTAAAAACAATTTCCGTTGTTATCTCAATGTTTTGTTGGTGTTAGTGTTGTGTTAAAGTGTCTTTAATTTGTCAACATTCGAGTCCTGATTATTTAATTTTCGAAATCAAATCTGGTTTCTAAGTAATTAAAGGAAACGATTTTTTTAATCCTTTGTTAAATATTGTGAGTCGAATGTGGAGAGCTTATAACGCTTACAGGCTTATGTAGTGTAACGCATCGGTCATTTGCAGCTGTGCCCATCCTTTCCTCTAAGCTGGGCATAAGCACTTTTACCATGCTTGGAAATACAGCTACCAAATACCCCACGGTTGGCGCGGGGTGGGGAGCGCAGCTCGCGGCATTGTTCCCTATCAACACTGCAGCTGTTTCAGGGGTACCCAACGACGGTTTCCTTCCAAACACACTGAAAACACTTTTAGGCTATCCAGAGTAATTTTAGATCTCTAGAAAAGCATTCTTAGCGCGGCGCTGTAAATTTTGTAGTCTTCGGTCATCCTAGGGGAACTTGAATCTTTTCGAAATTACAAGGGCTTGAGTATTTTTCCCCAAAAGTTTAGATGAAATTTGACGTATTATTAAAGTGAAACATTTTCTAATTCCTCTCTCCATCACATTTTTGAATTCGAAAATAGGAAATAGGTTTGCTTTTCTCCATGAAAAATAGCCTAACTTGGGAAGTAAAATGGGAAAATTAAACCTCAGAAAATCGTAAAGAATTTATTAGATAAGCTTCGAGTATTGTACATGAATGGAACGGTCATCTAGAAACTTTTAGTCGTCCTCAAGTAATAGAAAATTCTAGGCAATATTTGCTTCTCCAAACAGATATTTTAAAGAAAACAGTGGTTGGATGCCCCTGCTGTTTCCGCTCGTTACAGGATAGCTCACTTTGTAGTGTAATAGGCCATGAAGAAATGCATAAAGTATAGAAAAGACATGCCTTTGAAAACCTTGACAAGTTTGTTCAGTCCTTGACAGACAAGTCAATCGGTGACGAACAGTAACTGTTCGTCTTTTTCGATCATTCTTCACAGTCTGATTTCAAGTCGGAACGTACGTGACCATACCCTTTTACTTTGCCTTAAATTTGTTTCTTTCAAAACAGGTTCCATGCTTCAATATCACGGTAACGGAAGGGGAGCCTCTCCTTTGAAAATCAGGGTTACTCAAGCAAACTCCACTGTCACCAACGGATCCCAGGTTAATCCTTCCACGGTGAGTTACAAATTATTTTACAATGTAGATCACTCAGTTGCCAAATTCAACAAGCAGGAAGCCAAACTTTCGTACCGTGAGGATTTTTACTACGTTAAGTGCATAAAAGGGGCCATTTCATTTCAGGATGACCTTGATAAAAGGCTTTATAAGGTAGGTGCATAAACAGAAAGTGACAAACTTGGGATCACGAAAATGACATTTACCCAATAGTGACTAATACGGGGTCTACAAATGGCCACAGAATTGACTATAATGGGTTAGGGGTTGTGAGAGACAAGCGGCACATACCCAGAAAAAACTTACTCAAATAACCCCCTGGCATAAACGAGGACTACCATTCCCTTAACTCGTACCATAAACATAACATAATAACACATGTCTCTTGTATGTAATCTTTCATTTTCAGGAGGCCCCTACTATGCAACAAGGAAGTTTTAGGTTTCCAGATAATTGCCAGGATGCAAATTGTGATTTTCTTGTGACATACCAAGCCTCTGGTGAGGACAGCGTAGTTTTTGAACTAAGAGGCAGAGGAGAATGGGCAGGAGTGGGATTTAGCGGAGATAACCAAATGGTGATTAACGTAGATCTGGTAGATCTGAACAATAGGCAACTTTCGATATATTAAAATTCAGCATGATAGCGAGTCTTAGAGGACACAAACAAAGAAAATGAATGAGCCATGATTATTCGTGTTTATTAATTTTCTTTGTTTGTGTCCTCTAAGACTCGCTATCATGCTGAATTTTAATATATTGAAAGTACGGCTTATTGCATAAACATTTACACTGAAACACATGTTGAAATTGGCCTTCATTGAGTGTTTTTTTCAAACATGTTTCATCTGGGTTACATTTCTTCTTTTTACAGCCTGATACAGACATACTTATTTGCTCCAGCGATACTTCACTGAGTGGCCATTATTACGCATCCAGTAGAACAGCACCAACTATTACAGATCCTGTGAGTTTCTTTGATTTAATTTTTTGCTGTTTTAGAGCAGAAAATTTTAGAAATTTAACATTGGCCTTTAGACTGTTTTGATAGAATGAGGAGGTAATAACGGTATGAGGCTAAGTAATGCAATGACTCATTTCAATTTTTGCAGCCCTCTTCACCCTAGCCTGCGAAGCCGCCTTCATGTCTGCTTGTCGCTGGGGCATTTTAGAGTTTCTCTCGCGACAGGCGACCTTATCTGTAGAGCAGCAGCGCCAAGTGTTTCTCTCATATGAATGAAGCGCTAAATTATTTTAAAGAACACAATCGACTTTCTCTTAACGGACACTTCTATAAGACGGACACCTCTCTAAGACAGACACCTGGTGTTGGTAGCTGCCGTTTTTCAGTCATTTTACTGTAACTATACTCTCTATCAGACGGACATCTCTCTAAGACAGACACCTGGTGTTAGTAGGAGTCATTTTACTGTAACTATACTCTCTATAAGACGGACGCTTCTCTAAGCCAGACTCCTGGTGTTGGTCCCTGCCGTTTTTCAGTCATTTTACTGTAACTACACTCTCTATAAGACGGACCTCTGTAAGACAGACACCTGGTGTTGGTCCCTGCCGTTTTCCAGTCATTTCACTTATTAACTATACTTGCTATAGGTCAGCCATCTCTCCAAGACATGCCACACAGACAACGAACCCTTTTGAAACAGTCAATGGAAATTTGAGAAATGCTTTATGTAGTGAAAAATACCTAAAAACGAAAATGTAGGGGAAGCAAATTACATAACCAATGCAGAATGTGTCCTAGCTACAGCTCGTATCGACTTTGAAACCATTAACGAGTATTTCTAAACAACACGTGAGGATAAATAAAAAAAGCCTGTAAAACAGTTATCTTTTCGCTCTTTTAGTTGAACTCTTTTACCCTTAAGAACTTCAAAATTGTCTCATCAAAAACAAACCATTATAACGGATTACGTTTCGCTCGCTTATGTACCTACTGGACTGTATTACAATTTTTTTTTATTTTGTAGTCTTGTTCCAGTTCGCAGAATGTATAAAGTTACGCTTTTAAGCCACTAAGCCGCGAACATTGGCTTTTAATGAACATTTGATTTCACGTAAAGCAATGATTCCACTTTTCTATTACACTGTTTAATCTTTTACTGTCTTGCAAAAGTAAAACTGATGTGTATTAATAACGGATAGGTTCATCTTTATTTTCTCTATTAGCTGGAAACCTCTCTAAAATGGTCGGGGCCGGTCCCGAGGGTTTCCCTCTTAAAGAGAGTTGACTGCATTCATAATGATCACGCCCTTGCTGACTGAAGTTTATTTTGCACTAGACGAGTGACAGAGAGAGTCCAATCGTAGTGTCCGTTATTGTCGATATTGTTGTCTTACGTTGCCAACTGATGAATAAATGACACTTCGTAAAAATGTTGTTACATGACAGAATGAATACAACTTATTAAAGAGAGCTCATTAATTTATATATATTTTCTTTTTCAGACTCCATCTGCGGTGGTCATTTCTCACCAGCCATTTAATAACGGGGTTGTGTCCTGCAGGTACGTAACGAAATACCTCATTATCTTTTATCGTCATCTTTACCGCCACCGCCAGCACCTTCACTTCCATCATTATTATTTATCATTTAACCTTTTCAAACACAAATGTAATCTGATATAGAATATCTAATTATACAGGGATTTAGTTTTTAGTGCAGCTTAAAATTTTTAAGTAGGATTTTTGGTACCGTAATTTTAATGTAATTCGTCAGGTATTCTTCTTACTATCTTTTAGTTCATTAGTTTTCTTTCTTACGAATTCTGTAAAGCGCTGTTTAGCTTTTGGAAATAGTGCTATATAGATAACGTTTCCTATTATTATACATCATCATCATCATCATCATTGACTGTTTAACTGTTCGAAGTGTTTTTCAGAGAGAATAAATAAGATTCTAACATTTTGTTATTGACACAATTTAGTTTGAAATTATTCAAAGATTGCTTCTGATCCTATGAGGATACTGAAATAAGCAGGTAACTGTGAGGAAATATATAAATTAAATTATTTTTTAATTTTGTTTTTTAGGATAACAAGGGAGTTAAACCCGGGAATAGCAAATTTTAGGAATCTAGAAGAGCCGCAGTTTCTCTTGGGAGCAATCGGATCTTTAAGTGGTAAGAATGCACCCAAGAAATTTACGATCAGGACTCAGTTGTTCGAAAGCTGAATAGTGTTATCCACCGACTATCATACTATCCAGCGGATAACTGATCAGGAAAACAAATTTTTTACCCTAGCCAGCCGATCAAGATTTATCCAAAGGATATCGTTATATAGACGTCAGCCTTTAAAACTTGTCTTGCAGTTTTTTGCTGCTGCAAAAGGCACCAAAATTTCTAGTAGTCACAGCATTATTCTACAGCAGTTTTATCAGAGAAATTTTACTTAAGGCGTGCTTAATTCACTGAGTAACTTCTCTTGGAACTTGCCTCGCATGTTGCAATGAAATTTCGATCAATCATAGGAAAAAGGAATAATTATCGGAAAACGTCTTATAAATTATAATTGTTGCCGTATGGATAAAAACAAGTAGGATAATCTCATTATATAGCTTGTGAGCTTGGGCTACTGGTGGTTTCGCTCATATTTACGAGCAACTCTTTAAAGGCAAGTTTCAAGCTATTTGTTCTGGCCAATGTAAAAAATGTTTGGGCCGATACTGACAATTTCGCTGTTTCAGACATTCGGTGCTAAACCCAATGGTGACTGTCTTATACACTACTCCATCTTGCTTTAGTGGATCAACAGCGTCCTTAGGTCGCAATAAGTGTGACCTCAATGTTGTATCGTCATGCCGTTGTAGGCAACGACGAAGTGGTTCAGATAACCCTTTGGTGTTTGGTAGAGCCGTTGTAGGTTCAATTTCGGTTGTGGTTTTTTTATTAGATGCCTGCTGATTCTTGGATTCGTGATTTTAGCTACAAACGAATGGGCTTATCCTTTAGAGGCAAGGACAGAAGATAAATGTTTCTTTTTTCTCGGGTTCGCAGACGTTATTTTTCGGAGGGAGAGAAGCGACGACCGGAACTCACGTCTGTTGTTCACAGGCTACAGACGTTCCTCCTCAAGAAACGTCGGCCAAGGGGCGAGGAGCGAGTAGAAACAGCTGTTTTCGCAGACTACCATGAGACAGGCTTAAGCTTAACACATTTTATTTTTGACTCCACCAGCAACTACTCCAGGCGCAGTCTTCATCACGTTCCATTTCTTGTTTCTTTCGTTTCCTGGTTTGTTTTAATAGATCTTGACATGTCCATTCAATCTTGCGCCTTCGGCTGCATCTTGCATTTCTTTCCTTGGTTTCTTGCTGACACTGGAATCCAATTCAGTTCGGTGTACATGTATACACGGGCACTGAAGTCCTCCAGATCACTGCCATGGTCGTACTTGGTATGCTCACCATGCTTGTGAAGTTACTACAGCGACAGAGAGTTATTTTCTGCCACCTTCGCAGCAATTTTTTTCTTTATTATGAACTGCCCTTAAGCTAAAAAGTCAAAACAAAGAGCAATTTGTCCCTGTTTGTGTTTTGTTCTGTACATTACCACAAATGATCCCGGGACCGCAAATGATCTCCAAAATGGACCGCAAGTGATCCCCAAAGTCGATCGCAAATGATCCCGTAGGAAATTAAGGAATGGAATAGATTTTATGGGACTGATTTCAAAAACGAACTGATTATAAAAAAGGAACCTTTTCCTCTTGACTTCTAAAGAAAAAGGGAAGAAGGACGCCACATCTCAGGTCAATTTATACAAGGCGAAAAAAAATGGAATAAATGTGAAAAGGATATTATATCAACCGTATACTTCTTTCTTTGTCATGATCAATTGCTTCAAATTTCTTCAAGAATGTTTTGTCGCTCTAAAAATTTAAGACAGGCAGGACGTTACGCAGAAACAGCTCTATTATTTTAACGCCTAGAAGCTCAACTTGACTACTGAGGAACAGAAAGTCGGGCACCCTCTACATAACAAGAGGTTTATTTACTTTACTGATCTTTTTGGAACAAGAGAGGAGAGGCAGGCAAGCAAGAAATTTTATAACAAATGTTCCCAAAATTCTAGATCTCAAATCGTCTTCCGAACAAATATTTTCCGAAAATTGACGTTGGGTTAGTTAAGTTTAAAACATTGTAATTAGTAATTAGCTAGCATTGTAATCAGTATTAAGTTGTACTGCTTAGTTATGGATGCACCAGGGCGTAAGAAGCTAGGGTGTTGAAACGAGCGGGGTCGAACGATCTAGCTGTGATGCAAGGGTCTGGGTACTACCAAAGAGACAAAACAAGATGGCGGATATGATACCGTCAGAGAAATTATCCAGCGGACGTTAGCCATTATCCCGTGGCATTCATTTGCTGACCTGTATTAAAATTTCGTGACTTGGTAAGAAAATGGCATCACAACTCAGATGATAGCACTGACATCACTTTTAGACTAATATCGGTAATATTATCGGTTCTTTACTTCAGTTTAATATCAGGATGTGTAATTCATCATCTGCTATGGCAAATATTTTTAGCTGCCCAGTTTTAAGGCCAGATGATCTGTTTTCACTATTAATAATAATAATAATAATAATAATAATAATAATAACTTTATTCATAGATTTAAAAAAATAGACTATTTACAGATTCAAGAATATGAAATATTAAAATATACACCCTATGTACATTCTTCTTGTGTACGAAAGAGAATTGTCGTAAAATGGCTATCTAAAGACTACTAATAACAATTATAAAAAGCATCAAAAAGTTAATAAAATAAAAATAAAAAATAAAAATTTTTGTACATCAGTATTCTTCTCTAAACAGCTTATTGAGCTATCTCCAATATTGAGCATTACAGTTGGACAGATTGTGAAAACTGAAGTCCGGGTACATTTAACCCTATTCAGACTGGGGGCTTTTCGAACCCCCCCTCCGGCAAAATCGTGATAACTCCTACACCGAAAGAGCTATGACGTTCAAATTTTCTGACTTTTCCTAAAATTTATCTAGAAACATTTTGGTATAATTACCATGTCCATGTGATTAATCATGTTGCCATAGCAACCAGTTTCTGACACATAGGTTTTGGAAAATTTAAAAAATGGTGATTTTTTTTGTTTTAAGATCGCGTTTTTACACTTATAGTGCTTTTTGTTGTTAAAATGGTCTTTGCTTGGGACTAGTTTTTGAATTACATCAAAATGTTTCAACATCGAATATTTGGGGGGGAGGGGTGGGGTAAAATTTGTCACTTTTTTGCTTTGACAAATATGCTGCTCTATTTTCCAAATAACACTTCCAAAGTCATTTGTTTGGGTAATAAGCATTAGTTTGATACTTCTTTTATACATTCTGAGCTTTTTCCCCTTTGAAAGTTGCTTTAAATTATAATTTTAACAAAAAAACAGAAATCCAAGATGGCGGATCCAAGATGGCGGACAACCATTTCAAATTTTAAATTTTATTGCTTCCTATTGCTTTTTCTCGATGTACAAGTGTTTCCTTGTTACTAGTTCATAAGAAAGGATAACAAAGAGATGACTTTACCAATATTATTGATATTTTACGTATCTAAGTGGAAAAATAATAAGAAACATTGAAAAATCGGAATATGACGTCACTGTGACGTCATCATTGGGCGTGGTAAGTCAATACTGGGTGTGGGGCTTCTTTGTACGGAGATGATCATTGTGTGTAAATTTCATGACCCTAGCATTATTGGTTCCAGAGATACAAAGAGGGGGTCCGAGGAGCCCCCCCCCCCAGTCACAGATTGACCAAAAAAGCCCAGTCTGAATAGGGTTAAAATATAATAAAATGATCATTATTTTTTTATCTTGTACACTAATACTACTGTGCAATGAAGAATAAGTATGTGAAAAAAATATAATTCACTGCCCTTGAAAAAGTAACACAGAGGTTGCAAGAACACAAATAAGTAGCCCAGCAAATATTTTTGTTTGATAATAACAGCTTTTTGTAAAGAAATGGTCACTGAAAACTGCCCTTGCAAGACATAACTAAGGAACTTAAAAGAAGCTAAACATTCACTAGTCTTACATTGAAACCAGACATTGCTATATATATATCTTACAGATACAAGATAAAACATTTATATAACATACAAATTCAAAAGTATATTGCAATTGCAAACATGAAAATTATACAGAATTATACACAAATGAAATACAAATGGCCTGTAACGGATATTATAATTAAACCATTGAAAAACAAACTTTCTAGTGTGACCAGCAACCCTAGCACACTTGTATACTTCATGTCCAGTATGATTCAATTTCATTCTTGGTTAAATTTATTATCTGCAGCCAGGCTTAATCAAACTTGATTCAAAAAATACTTTCCTGTTTCCTTGTAACTACAATATATAATATTAAGAGAGAGTATATGATACTAGAAATATTATACAGTAGTACAATCAAAAGACAAGGCACCTCCAGGAAATCGAGTTGGTCCCTACTATTCTTCAGTCATTTTTTTTACTCTCTATAAGAGTCACACCTGTCCATTAATACAGACATTTTGTGCCAGTCCCAATAGTTTCCATCTGAGAGCTGACTGTAGTTTGTGCAACACCACACTTAAGCCTCTGACGACAAAAATACAATTTTACACAGCAGTCAGCAGTCTTAATTTATTCTACTTGCAATCAAATTAAGACCTCTTCATGTTCTTCTTCATATTCACGGTATTATGGACTCGTTTATCTTTCAGTGTGTGTTCTAGTAGTCTTTTCAGGCCGGGCACTCACTGTTGTCCTGCAAAAAATCATTATAATAACAAATAAACACATTCTATGATTTAATTTTGCAGTGGAATCTTTGTGGGGATTTAAAAACAAATTTCTCCATAGGCTTTTGTGCAATACAACCCTTAGATTTATACCGCAGCGAAGCAGAATTTGTTGTTGTTTATGTAAAGACTGTCATACGAGATCATTCGAATACAATTTTCTAGTAGTCAGAACCTTCTTGGATCGCGGTTCTGTAACTAAAAAAAAAATATTTACCATCTTAATGTATATTAAAAAAAGAAAAATAGCTAAATTGGGCAACTGAAATCTTTTATTTTACTAACAAGCTAAACGCCAACGTACAAAACAAAAACCTTGCTATCGCCATTATGAAGTCGTCACTTCAGAAGTAAAAAAGCCTTAAAGGTTCATAAAAGTTCACTCTAAAAATTTGTATACACAAACAAAATTTATAAAACCATTACATATTGTCTTTTTGTAGCCGTTTATTATCATTTGGTTTTGACTGGCAGTACAAAACGTGACCCTCAACCTGTAAAATTCGATAGGCCACTTTGACACTACATATACACAAAAGGCGAAAAAACACCTTAACTTATAAGACTAACTATAAAACATCACCTAAATATCTTTCTGTATATCGCATAGAAATACGCCAAATATCAAATCTAATTATAGATTGCAGCGATCTAAAGATATAAAGCAATAAATCCGAACCTACCTCCAGCTAGACGGCGCCATTTTTCTTGCCCTAACAGCGGATTGAAAGCGGAAAGGCGAACTAGTTCCAGTCCTACTCCGCGTCACAGCTGAACCAGAGAGCAAGTATGAGCGTTTCAACGCCCTACCTTCTTACGCCCTGAAGCAGACGGATGCTTGCAGTGGTTTCTCTCCCTTCGTAGCGTAGCGCCCGGCCTGGAGAAACCACAGCGTGCAGGGTACATATAACCCAGCACTTCCACGCATTTCTAATATCTTAAGCAAACACTTTAACCTCTTACACTCCTTTAACCGTTGCAAAGACGTCTTCGTCCACGGTTTTTTCAGTTATTTTAATTCCGGTATCACTGAACGAATATTTTCTGCATCTTTTTCCTCCACTAGCTACTGTTTCTCTTCTGGGATAACTTTGAAAATCATTGCGTTTTAGCTTGAGGCTTCACTTTTGTGTTGTTGTGTTCTAGTTCACGAAAAAAAATAACTGGCACTGTTTTTCCCGCCTTTTGTCACGCCACTTCCCACCATGCTTTGATCACGTGCTGTAATGTATCCCGAGCGGGGTAGCTCAAATGTATCACGATCTAGTCTACTACACAGCCATTTTTAGTGCTGTCACGCAGAGTTCCTCCTGTCCTGTCTTGTCGGGTGGAGCATTGCGTGACAACACTAACAACGGCTGTGTAGCAGACTAATCACGATCGGGATACATTGATTTTAGTCAAGGCCATGTGACCAAGAATCAACCAATGGGCCAGTCCTTGTTTAGTTGAGTCTAGGAATATAACAAAAGCCATTGTTTATGTTATTCCGTGTAATGCACTTGAGTGGAAGCGACTGTAATTTGCATGCCAAAAAAAATTGTCTGTTCAATCATGTTTACAGGTTCCACAATCGGAATTCATGCACAAAGACGAGCTACAAGTTCTAAGGTAGATGTAAGGTCAGGTGAAGATGGTACTGGAAGTGGCATAACGTCACAGATCCTCGCTCACGGTATGATAGCCATTAATTCTGCAGGCTCGATTACGCAAACCGCTGTTCGGAAAATAAGCCCGCCCCCCCGTCCCCCCCCCCGAGAAGTTCACTGTTCTCTAGGGTGATGATTTCTTCTCCTAACAAATCGCGAATTGCCAAGTATTTATAATTACGAGCTTCTAAGCTGAATGTGGCTCATAAAATAATCTTATGGACAGACTCAATAATGCATTTTTTTGAACCTATTTTTTTTGTAAGTCACTCAACGTAATCAAAGAAGGTAACAATACGCTTTGTGGTTCCCAGTGGCCTTGGTATACTTTGTGGTAGTTTTGATGCACGATGTGCTAGTTCATGCCATAGTACTTGAACGTTCCAAATCTAATTGGAAACAAGACTAGATCCGAGGGGGCGACAGAAAATCAAGCTATTTATGTTGCCAAATAAATTCCTAAGTTATTGGTACTTAATTTAGCGTGTAAATAATTTCGCGATTTTGGTGAGGGAGTATTTCGGGGGATTTAATTTTCAACGCACAATATGACAAAAGGGCATTAAATTTCACGATTTTTAAAGTCATTGTCAGCTTCATTTCATTGACTTAAAAAAAAGTCTGAAAGGTTTCAAATTTCTAGTCAAACTGGAAAAGCAATGTGTGAAAACTTTGCAAATGAATGTTATTTCACTTACTGAAGATACAAAACGGAGCTTACCAGTAAAACCAGTTGTAGCAAGTTATATTGTTGATCAATATTCTGTATATTTTTACTAATTTAAGTTTTTTCTGTGATTTGAATTTTCTATACGAGTATTATTTAATTTCGCGGGTTCTTTATTTTCGCGATTTTTCTGCAATCGCGAAAAACGCGAAATTAAGTACCATTTAGTTATTTGCATATATATTGCAATCCATGTTTCAAAAGACAAAAACTGAAAAAGATTCAGAGATGGTTGTAATCATGAGGCTAAGTACGGTATAAAGAATTACCATGCACATAGCTATAGAGATGGTCCGCTAAGATCTGCATTATTATTTGAAGTTTAAGGTGCGTAAAAACGGGCAACAAAAAACGTGAAACAGGTTTGATGGGGGTGGTAAAACGCGCAACATCGCTATTCAACTTGTTCTGCAGCAGTTTTGCAAGACAAGTTGCACGTTTTTTGTTGCCCGTTTTTACGCACCTTAAAGGTGGACAAATATAACACAAATCGCTGTATTGTCAGCCCAAGCATCGTGTTGGTGTCGCGGAAAAGGTCTTTTCCAAAATTTATTCAAGCTAATCATGTCCTTACCTCTACGTAAAATTACTTTAAGATATTTAATTAAGTCCCTCTAACGTTGGCATACGAAATGAAATTTTGAAATTTTATGGAATAATTCACCTCTTGAGTTTTCTTTTTTCTTGTCATTTTGCCTTTTGTTGTCAATTATGGTCAAATTATCTCATATATCCAGGTATTATGATGACGCTTGCGTGGGTTTTGTTTGCATTTGTTGGCTTATTCACGGCACGATACATGCGCGAAGTCTGGGAACCAAGAAAATTGCTGGGAGAAAAAGCTTGGTTTACGGTTAGTAGGGTGAAAAGGAACAAAATTTAAACTAAGTAAAAAGTATTATTATAGGAATTTATTACTGAATTCTTTTCTGATAATTAAAGTTTATAATGTATGGATCTCAAATTCACGAGCCTTAGTTCTTTTCGGGGGAAATCTATTTTTGTTACCCAATGAATAATATGCTAATATATAGTCTGAAGAAGGGTAAGATAAAGAAGAGATTAAGGTAAAAGCCGTGTACATTGCAAAGTGGTAAAATGCGCTCCTTAATGATCGATCTTTTCTGAGAAGGCGATTTATCCTACCCCGTTCAGTTTGAGTCAGAGTCACGAGAGCGTCAGTTTCAATTTGTGTTAGTCCGGACATATATACGATCGTAGTATACAGTGTTTCCGGCTTAAACATCTTGGGCTGAAAATTTGCAGTTCAATCTGATTCTGTTACTATCTAAAACAACAGCCGCGAGCAACTGGTTTTCTTTCTTCATTTCACAGGTGCACCGTTCGCTAATGACCATTACACTGCTACTAACGATCTCTGCAACAATATTGATCTTCGTTCATATTGGAGGATGGTCTTCGGTAAGTTTGTTTTTCCGTCTTCAAATTCATGAAACCGTCATAAGTTACGATATCTTCTTTTAATTTTTTGCTGAATAGTTTTTTTTCAGGAATAGTTTTCTTGTTCTCCTTCTGTAAAGGGAAATTCCAAGAGGTATCCTCTCGATAGTCAATAGTCAATTTTGTTCAATCCAATCATTCTTTTCCCCTTATTCAAGACATGCAACGAACAGGTGGAAGAGATATTCCTGGATATTCGTTGTGTTCCTCTTCGAGAGTCGGAAGAACTGAATACATGCTGAAATTTCCCTACAAAATTAAGGAGTAATTCGTCACCCATGATATTAGTATAGGAAATTATAACTAAACTGAGATGATTGATTAGGTTTCTTCAATAAACGCATCATCTTAGCGAGCGATAAAATACTTTGACCTTTTTTCCTCCCTTTTGCTTGTTTTAGCGAAGCTTCACGCGAGCGCGAAGCACGCGCGAGCAGAGCCCCATCTGGTAATCTAGTGACGGTCGGCCCGTCCATCCGCACCACAGGGAAACCAATGTGAGATGTCAAATTTTCTAGCTAGTGTGAGCGCCTGTAACCTGTGTTTAATCTGATAATAGACATCCATATTACGGTCAATTGACGGGTGTGAAAAAGGTATCCGCTGACCAGTGTCACATGACCGTATCGGGAGCTCAGGTGCCGGCTCATCGAGGTCGCGTGTTTTTTGAAGTTTCTGCTGACCAGTTGTTAGCTTTTAATTGATCGCAGGCTCAAGTTTATGTTTTTCAGTCATATGGGTTTCCCGTAAAGTTTAGGATAGATTTGTGGTCTTTTCAATAGTTTAAAGTCCAGTGTTTGCAGTAAATCAAAAATGTATTAACGGGAGCTTCGCTTGTAGCTTTGCTTAAATCTATATGTTATATTATACAGGGTGCTGGACCGCATCCATATCTCGGAATCGTTGCCATCGCGTTTGCCATTGTTCAGCCAATTATGGCAGCATTCAGACCTCATCCTGGAGCACCCAGGTAAATAGATTTCTTTCATACTGGCCGCCTATTAATGTATTCTTTTATTAGTATAATATTAAGCCTTTCTGACCTCGTTAGCATGTGCAAAATACAAAAGAAATACTTTCAAACGAGGTTAGAAAGGCTGATTATCATACATATAAAAGAATATATTAATAAGCCGCCATTATGAAAGAGATTTATATTGGGCCTTTATTTGCTCAGTATTTCCTAGTGTCTTCGGACCAAGGAGAAGTGTCAGTGCTTCCGATCAAAAACTGATTTGTCTCCCAGTTCTTTTGCTATAGAAGAAATTGTAGATGACGTTTATTCTTTTTCCTTTAGCTTTTTCAATTTGAGCTTCATGACTTTATGAAACGTTTTGTAACTTCACCTTTTCTTTTCACTCTTTGAATTGTACAACCCACTATATATATATATTCTCCAACAGTATACACTGGGTGAGCGCTGACTATCCCAAATATCTTTTAAACTGTTTGTCAGAAGTTCACAGGTGTCTTTCTCTTTGAACGTACCTTGCGCGTCCAGTTATCGTTTCCTTTACAACTCCATCGGTTGGACTATGTAATGAAAATTAGCTGTTGTAAAATGTATTTTCAGGCGTAACATTTTTAACTGGTCTCACCGAATTGTTGGCACTATAGCACTAGTGATGGCAGGTACGTCTTTTACAAACAGTATATAATTTCCCCTTGGTTCTTTTGATGTTGGAATTATCGATATTTATCACATAAAATTTACTTGTGAGACCGGAGTTTGATCGTATCTTCTTTGACTATAAAATACCTTAAGCAATAAACCACAAAACGTCGTGCGAATATTTTCCACTGAAATCGTCTTTCATTGCAATTTATGGATCATCTTTTTATTTACGATATGTGACACTTGAAGTTGACCCAATTTTCCAAACACATGTTTACCTTACTGGATACAAAAATAAATTTCTTGTTGTTCGAGTTTCAATCACTTAGTTAATTTCACTAATTGCATTGTAAATTGGTTTTGTTTAATTTTGACTCATTTTTGTACATTTTCTTGATCTGCTGCGTGAAGGATATCAGAACGTCTCGATAACGTCACTTGATCAATTTCTTCCTTTCATAATGAACTGATGATTTTTCCAACCATTTTAGATTTTTTTTGGATTGAATCAAATGTCGGCTGGGTGGAAAGCGGGGGACTCAAAGTGGCTGATAAAGCGGGCTGTCATCTTGGATCAAAGTCCGAATTTTGACAAGCTAATTGCCTTTGGAATTATCATGATAGAGGGCGAAAATGAAAAATTTTCATCTGGCGGATAAAATTTCGAAAAATCATGGAAAAATCACGGAAAATTTACCGTATTTGCTCAAGTTGTTTTACTTTGTATTTGAGGGCAATTTTCCAAGTACAAGTCCCCGGGGGCTTATATTTGGAGGGGCGATTTAACGGAGGGTTTTTTGCGTTACCGGTTTGGGGGGCTTATATTTGGAGGGGCTTATACATGGAGGGGCTTATTTTCGGAATTTTACGGTATCAACCTTCTTTTCCGAGCTAACAATACTGGGTAAAGTAAGCTTTAATTTCTCATTATTACTTTATTCCACAGTTGTATCAATCTACTATGGACTTTGCACTCAAAAGGTCCAGTTGGGAAAACAAGGGCTCTGGGCGGTAATAGCTTTCTACATTGGAGAGTTCCTAATATTCCTGTTTGAGTTGTATCTGATCCTTTCAAAGCGTAACAAAGAAAAGAATAGTGTCTCAATGGGCAATACCAGAGGTAAAAGAAGAAATTTCCTTTAAGATTAATTGATAACAATAATAAAGGAAATAATAATTATAATAATTGTGGCGTTAGTTTTGTTTAGTGTAAAAAATCAATCGATGTATAAACGTATTATTGCATAATATATAGAAAGACCAAGCCATAGATATCGTTCTAAGTACACTCTAAAACAGCTTTGGTTTCATCGCTACTGTTTGATCATACATGTACGTCAGCGATAAAATACAGAAATCGGAAATTTATTTCCATGGAATAGTGGTATAAGCAAGGACTAAATTGAAACCTTTTTTGGAGGAAAGGGCTGGAAGGGGTGCGTGGGTGGGTTGGAACAGAATAAAATCAACATCGAATGGGGAATAAGATCATGAATAAGACTCGAGCCAATTTGTGTGTCACTGGGAAACTCTTCACCTTTACATGTTACTAAGTTATATAATATGGACGCGTTTTGTTTCTTGCCGCACTGTTGGTGTTAGCAAGCGAATGAAAAATAGATTTTGATGTCGGAGAAGGTAAATTATCTCCGCCATCTCGCCCTGATGAATACAATTATTAGAGCACAGGAGGAGGAACTGAAAACAATAAGATTCTTGGGCAAAAACGGAGAAAATTCAGTACCTGGTGTACTAGTTACAGTGGCTGTTATGCATGCAGGAAATCGAAATAAAATGATAACGTGAGGTTACATTTATTAGTGCGCAGTAAGACCGGGCATTACACCCGCTGTAGGATCAAACTAATCCTAGCTTTTAGTAACTACTCATAACACTTTCATTCGTTTTAAGATTCAGAAGTGACCAAGTTGCGGTATTTTTTTTTATCATTCTTTGTGAACCACATACTACTTTCTCTTCGTTTACCCCTAAAACATTTGTTTTCTACAATTACAAAATCTGCAATTTCTACAACTGGCCACTCCTTGATTTTGTTGCATAATATATATAAATGAATATGGTCTTATTTGCAGACATTCCAATGGAGGCGCCGGGACATCAGACTCAGCCGCAGACTGAAATGTCAATGAAGGTAGGTTGAACAGTTACACATTATTCCAAATTCATCTTGTAGTAACGTTACAAGAACGAGGAATGAAATTTTTTGGCAAAGGAGGCTTTAAAATTGACTATGGATATCACCGTTTTAATAAAAGAAGGGAATTTGAGAGCAAACAGAGATCTGGAATTCAAATAGAAGTAATAAACTTACTGACCAGATAATAACCTGAAAAGAAAAGATAAATTCCCTGAGTAATTAATACTCAGTCGAAATGCTAAATGGATGAACTGTTATGATTAACAGCTTTAGCAAGAGTAACAAAATTAACTTTTAATCTATTTCTTACATTCAGGAAGCAATGATCAGAAGTTTCATGTTTGTTTTTGTAACCCTTCATGGAGCAAGCGTGGCTTTGACCATAATTCTACTTTTGGTGTTAAACTAAGGTGAGATATGTCAGCCTTAAAAGTATAACTGTGAAAGGTTTGAACCCAGGAGTCATTTCAAAAGTAGGTTGTGTTTGATCGTCCGGGTGAACGTAGTCCTGAATAGGACTGTTGTTGTTGACAGTGACTAACGTTTCGACAACCTGTGCGGTAGTCATCTTCAGAGTCAAAGTGAGTTGTATCACGTCAGTTGATGGTATTATACTCTGGTTATTGATTTGATTGGCCAATTACGTCACGATGTTATTGGTCGTCTGTCAGTTAAGCCGCGATGTTATTGGCTATGAAGACTCGTAATAAGTAACTGGTGCGTTTCGATCCGTCTAATGTCACTGTTAAATAGTCGTCTATTGTTAGTCAAATTGTCAGTTCTCCAGTCGTTCTCTCGTAGTTAGTTTTGCTTGATCTCGTTAATAAGTCGTTTGCACGGCGCTGGTAACTGTTGGCTTCGATTCAGTGGCGTTTGTTCTAAGTTAGTAAACCAGCTTTCTAAAGTAAGTCGTTGATAGTAGTCTGTAGAATACGTTATACACGTCGCAGAGTCCCAGTCAATTTGATGTTTCGTCTGTAAATGGTGCTCAGCAATGTGATTGTTGACGTCACCATTTCTCGTCGCTCGTTTGTGTTCGGTCAGTCGCGTGCTTAGGTGTGTGCTGGTTTCACCGATGTAAGAAGCCTGGCAGTCGCAGCATTTGATTTTGTATACTGCTCCCTGTCTGTCCTCCGGTTTGTCTTTGTCCTTGACATTAGTAAGCAGTCGTCGTAAAGTGGTTATCGGTTTGTGTGCAACACGTATATTGCAAGGTTGTAA